CCCACCCACCACTACCCCAGTCGGTCGACGGTTGCTTGCTGCTGTCTGTCTGTCGTAAAGGCGCTCACAATGCAAGCAATGCAACTGTCCGGCTGCTCCAAAGTATTTACACCGTTCCTGAGAGCCGCGTTGGTGTGGGTGTGGGTGTGGGTACGGGGATATATGGGGATGGGTCGTGCCTGTCTGCGGTGTGCGGTGTGGTGTGCGGGCGTCTGTTCTGTCTGGTGGGGTGGCTGTGCTCTGCCTTTCCTCCCCGTCCCTCTGCCCCCTTAATTCAGCCTGAAAACAGCCAGATAGACAGACAGACAGCTGGTGATTAGACAGACAAAGAGACGAACAGACAGACAGACAGACTGTATGGCGAGCCCTCCTGGCAGGCAGGCACCAGACAGGCAAGATCGCTACGGAGAGAGAGCAAGTACACACACCAACACACGGACAAAAAGGGCGGTATGTAGCCAGCCATCCATCCATCAGGGCAGGCCGGCAGGCAGGCAGGTGTCACTCACGAGAAAGTCCGCCAGCCGGCCGGCCGGCCAGGCAGCAAGGCAGGCCGGCCGCGGGCGGGAGCGAATGAAGGTGAAGTGGGTGTATGTGTGGGCGAGCAGCTTAATTAGGCGTCTCAAGTCGCAATGGATGAATGGATGGATGGCCATCATTATCGCATCACCACACCACAAAACACACAACACAACACAACACGACGCACACCGCCTCCCCCCGCCTCACCTCACCTGTCCCTCCCTCCCTCTGCCCCCCCTCCCCAGCTATCGGTACGAAGCAGCGGGGCCATCCATGCATCCATACATCCAGACACACACGCATGATGATGCAGGCATCCTATCGACAACTGTCTTGTCTTGAGGCATCACCCACACACACACACACACGCACATATGCAGGCAGACAACGGGGCCTCTCTCAGCAGCCAGCCAGGCAGCCACATCAGCAACCTGAACGAACCAACCAGCCAACCAACCAACCAACCATCCGCAGACAGGCAGAGAGACAGAGATCATCAGCAGGTGCCCCGTCCGTCCATCCCTTCTCCATTCAGTCATCCCCCATCCATCCTGTCTGTGTGTGTCCGCCCCACACGAGAGGAA